ACCTTGGGACTAACAACTGATTTTCTTTTTCCTCCTCTTCTGCTGCAAACCCAACTTGAGGAAAATATTCTCTTTTTTTTTTTTTTCTTTTTTGCTTCCTACTTCATTGAAAAACCCCAGAAGGAACATTCTTTTTCTTTCATGCATCACGAGAGAAGTTGCACTAACGCAGTCAAATATAGCCAAAAAGTAAAATTGGTCGTTCGTTGTTTATACACCATGAGGTTAGTTTGCCTGACCATGGTGACATTGGTACCCACTGTAGATAAGTAATTTAGCCAGGGCAGTATGACCGCAAGCCTGGGTGGGGTCTTTAACGTGCGTCACGCAGTAGTCATACATGACCGCACGCCGATACGATGCTCATCCAGATCGAAAGGGGCACTGGCGGGGATTGAACCCAGAGTCCCTGGGTTCTGCAGCGCGAGCTTTCGCTCCACGTGCTCCGAGCTGGTGTGCGCTAGCCCACTCGGCGATTCTCCGAAATTCCCTGTAGGGGGAAAAAGCGATGTAGTTTCAACTGAATCGCCACAGTTTGGCGACGTCACCGGACACGTCACAGTGCAGTTCTCTTCCGATGTAGTTGGTTGGCGATTGAGACAGGCTCCTCCCACCGGCGACGTCACGATGCAGTTTCTCTACCGCTTTTTCCAGCATAGACAGACGGGGCTGTGGAACAAATCCTGAGCATGCGCACTAGGTCTCTTCTACAGAATAGCAGACTATCCGCAGCCGTCCCACCCTCACCATTTTTCTTTTTGTCTCAGTGGTGAGGGTTCAAAGGGTGTATATACACACTAGAATAAGTACGTGACTTTACTTTCTTGCAGAACACGAAGACAGTCAATCAAGGCGAACAATAGTAGGATCCCAGTGAATGAGGAAGCTCAGGATGGGAGTAGATCTGTAAAATGTGATGTGCACAAGGTACAATATATGAGCGGGCGAAGCGTCATGCACACGGTCCCTTCGCGCATTGCACTTCTTTAGACACATCGTCTTCCCAGCTTTGTGATTCGCTTGTACCCTTCTATCCTTCGCCGTAATTGGCAGTCGGCGTGTTATAACAAAATAATAATAAACTCAAAAACGCTTTTTTTTTTTTAGAGTGTTTGTCGAGAGTTAGACACAGAGGATGTATAATTATTATCCTGCATTACATCTCGTCACGCTTTTTCAGTGTAGATTCCGGGATCACACAGAGAGCTCGGATGAGCCCGAGCGGAAATTTGGACGGTCAGTGCGCGGCGCCTTGTTGACGATAAGGATTAACAGAAGCCCCCCGAGGATAATCCGATTATAGCGGGTCTTCCCTTTGCGACCTTCCGCGCAAACATTAAGGTCGGGATCACGAGACATTCTTATCGAAGGAATAACCATACGGCGGTCCTTTTGCTCAAAGTTCGAGTGGTAAGGCAATTGCTAAACATTATAGTCTGTTGCAGGTTAATAATAGCGGGACTAGTTCCTCCCTTTACATTTCAGCAGAGAGAACGCAGTAGGTAAGGCGAGGGGAGAGGAGGAAACCACAAATCCTGGCGTGTAGAGTAGAGATATTTGTGGAAAGGGTATGTCCCACTATTCTTAACTTGTATTACACCCTTCCAAAAATTCAGTGCCTTCTGGGGGGTTAAAAGTTTCACTTTCGACAAACTAATGCCGGCCATGCGACTGTGTTTCATCGTCCACCGACACGTTCGCGCGTCAATGGCAGAGGATAATTGGCTCTTTGATCACCTAATAATGACTTATTGATTTGTTTAAGTTTTAGTGGTGTGAACATAAGAACTGACCAGCACAAAGCGGCAACCCATTGGTTCCTTGATCAAATTTCCGCCATCAAAAGGCTTTAGACATAAACTTGTGCCGAGAGATTGAATGGGCCACACTCCGAAATAAACGCTTCCGCAACCGTTCTATCTTATTCGTTCGTCGTCTTGTACTGACGTTTCGAACGTACGGGTCCTATACTATATTGTCCTTTGGGTAATATCTTCAACTTCTTCCTTTATCAGAATAAAAAAGGTCGCCATTGGTTGGCAGAGATGCCACACTGAGATGACGATATGATCATTAAGTTGCCAGTCTGAATTTGGAAAAGGTCTATAGTAAAGTACTTAGCTGGGCTAGTTGCTGCATTTCAATAAACGAGACAACCCAAATAGGACACCGAGAAACAAGACAGTGCAAGTGCTAACTTGTTTGTCCTCATATATGAGCGCCAGTTCATTTTTATCTGTAATTATTGATCAGCCTTATTTCGTGTCTAAAAAAAATTTTGGCGTGGTGGTCTAACTTTTTACGGCCATGTACAGCCTATATATATATATATAAACACAACTGCTCAAAGCTAACAGATAAATAAATAAATAAATTGGAATGTTTAGTACGTAATGGACTGCACAACTGACATCTGATAGCATTTTCAAATTTATTTTGAGCAATAACTAAATTAAGACGGCAGGTTGGCCTTGTTCGCTCCTCATCACTGGATAATACGCCAAAAACGACAGGGAATACGAAAACAGATCTGAACAGGACACGGCATAACTTTCAACTGATTGGTTTACTTAGGGAAAAATATATATGCAGATAAAAACCGACACGTGCCGGCAGAACACTGTACGATAAGGTCTGAACAAGTTCCCTCGGAAAACAGCCTCACTGGCTCTGCAGATAGTGAAATTCTTCCTCGGACAATGACAATAAAAGGTGCGCTCACACAAGAGTTGTTATCGTGGAATCTATCAAAAAGGCCTCGTAAATTTCCCTCGCTGTTTTTTCTTTTTTTCGTAACAGACCATGACCCTGGTATTTTCAAAGTTAGGCTTGCACTCGCAACACCCCCAGTGAACTGCTAAATGCTTAGACGCGGACACGCTTAGTTGCCAAGGCATGCTCTCTGAATCTTGCCATGGATACATCTCCCTGACCAATGTACACCTTTCCACACGACAGGGCGATTTTACACCTGACACTAGTGGCGCACTCGCGGAACCTGATGACATGTCGTTTTTTGCAGTTTCCAGATAGGCACAGCCAATTCCTCTGCAAATCTGCTTATCTTTTTACACCGCGAAGAAAGTTAGTTTGGTGCTGAAAGAGCTTCCGGGATATCAAAACGATGGGCCGCCTTTTGAAGGTTGTGGGACATCTTGTGGATAAAGTCAGGACGACAGGAGGGTGGGTAGGCCTGTCTTCGTGCCTTGTAAGCAGACCCGTGAAATAGCATTATGCTGCTTAACAATATGCTATCGCCAAGCACGTGCATGAGGTTACATCTGCTCGTTTATACCAAGCGCACGAAATAAAATGTATACAAAGAAAAGTTCACTCACTTGGGCATACAAGAAAAAGCACTTCCCACAGCTAGTTTTTGTAACCGAGCAAACTGTGTAACAGAATAGAAATACAATAATCATTATCGAAAAACGGGAATCTCAAACATGTATGATTTAGATGTATTTTGAAACAATTTCACTCTACTCTACTCGAGACAAAGCTAGTTGTGAGTTCCACACGTCTCAGGTTCCAATCTCGGCCGGGTAGCGCCATTAACCAACACTTCCATGGAAGTGTGTAGAAAATACCATTATTTCCCTCTTAGCCCCCAAAAGTGAAATTATTTTTTTCTTTATGAAAAAAAAAGGTTCGTTTCTAGTGAAATTTTAGCTTTTGACGTTATATCGCTATTTTTCTTCGCAATTGCTTCGTCTGTGATGTTAAATTTTCTCTTTCTTTGCTGCTCCCCCCCCCCCCCCCCACGCACACACACGCACACACACACCCAGCCTGACCATTCAATCCGGCGCGCACTAGGGGCGAACAAAAGAAGCTGACAGCCTCAGCTTTTCTCGCTGCCAAATGTCCAGCGTGGAAAGAGCGTGATCTCCACACTGTATTACGTAACAACCGCACGGATAACGAGCAGTTCGTAAAACCAGTATAGACCTTTTCTGCAAGTGCGCCGCCATCTTGAATTGACGTCACTTCTAGTATGGGCGAAAACATTGTTTTGCCTTTGCCACGCCAATGGAAGGCATTTAGGGTATAAGCGTAAACTTCACGCTTTGTCGTTTTGCCTCCCCTTTATTTGTTTACCATTTGCAGGTTGAAACGTTGGATTATTTTTTCGTCGCCCATACCGGATATGCCTATTAGGTGACTGGAGACGAGAGTGACAGAAAAGGTCTATAGTTTCATAATCGTCGCTTTGAAACAGTCCGCACAACGTGGAATGTAAACGTTCACGCGTGTACAGTCCGCGGAATGTAGCATGGCATATATTGGGCGTATATTCCTCGTTAGGTTTCTCTGCCTCTCTCTGGCGCGCTTTCGCGCTCCTACGGGGTTTCCCCAGGCGCAACGGTCAGCAGCTCCCTTTCTGCGAAAAAAAGGATCAATAATTCAATTTGATCCCCATTTCTGACAGCCGTTCGCCACCAATAAAATGACTCTCTGGACTTATTTTTGTATACTAGTTATGTCGGCCGTTCGACAATTTGTTTTCATGCACAATATCTACCCCCCTTCCCCACCCCCCCCCCCCCTCCTCTCCTTTCCTTTCCAAGCCTCGGATTCGCCAGTCTGGGAGCCGTGCACCCTATCTAATTGCATTTGCACGTGCACGCTGTATTTCTGCAAATATAAAACTTCTTGGACTCACTTTACAGTAAAGTTTTATAATAATGTAAAAAATAAAGAAAGAAAAATATTTACAGGAAGTTCAGACGAAAGCATCGAGATGTCACTACCCACCGCCCGCAGGACACCGAAAGCACTTAATACGCAATCTACTCCACGCTACGCCAGAGTTTTGCGAGACCCCGCAAGGCGGACAACCAGTCGCAGACATCTCTCTTAATCGTATTTTAAAAAGGCACTATCAAAAGGCCCAACCCCTCCTTCGTCATCTACATATATAGATACTACCGTTCGAAGCTACACACTTCCTAGATGGCGCAAGCTACTCGCCAAACTCAAACGGCTCAGCCATCCTCACTCTCCATCCTTTCGCTCGCTCCGGCGGCACTCTCTCGCTGCACTCCACGCGCGTCCACGCCGCCCCCAAAAGGACACTCGGTCTCTCCGTCGTGCGTACGCTCCCGCCGTGTCGCCGTTCTCGTCGATCTCAAGTGCCTGACGCAACACACGGCCAGCCGCCACGAGCTCGCCTCCGCGATCGCCGAGCGTGCCGCTCACTTCCATGTACCACGCTGTCTCCCCGGAAACCGACGTGAGCCCGTCAGGTAGCCGAGAAAGCGCCCCGGAACGCAGCAGCTAACACGAGGAGCTCGGCACGCGAAGGCCAAGGAGCCAACAGCCATGCCCCCGGAACCGAGCGGTGCGGACGCGCACCTCACCAACCCAGATGTCCGGCTGAGTCGAACTTCGTTGTCGGCGGCGTCGCCGACGGCCAACGGAGTTCAGCTCAAGAAGGAGCTGGGCCTCATGAACGGCGTCGGCATGATCGTCGGTGTCATCATAGGCGCCGGAATATTCGTCTCGCCGACGGGTGTGCTCAGGTACGCCGGTTCGTCCGGGATGGCCCTCGTGGTCTGGGCCTCCTGCGGGATCATCTCCATGGTCGGAGCCGTGTGCTACGCCGAACTCGGTACCATGATCCCCAAGTCGGGCGGGGACTACGCGTACATCTTCGCCGCATTTGGTCCCCTGCCGGCATTCCTGTTCTTGTGGGTGGCATTGCTTATCATTCAGCCGACGAGCAACGCGATCGCCGGCATCACCTTCGCCAAGTACATCTTGGAACCGATCTACTTGGGATGCCCGCCCCCGGATAACGCTGTGAGGCTGGTTGCTGCAGTCGTCATATGTAAGTAAAACCCAATTTTTTTTTTCCTTTTTTTTATGTGTGTCCGTGCGCTTACCTCGTCGAGCAAAGTAATCAATGGGTTTATTAAAGTTCCCAGGAAGAGCCCATCGCAGTCTTGGCAGTGGCGTACGTAGTTAACGTAGGAAAGCACAGCTGTGTGAAGGCCAAAATGCCACTACCTAAAAACCTGCTAAAAAAAAAAAAAAAAAAAGAAATATGTGTGTGTGTGTGGGGGGGGGGGGGGGGGGGGGGGTTCAAATATTTGGTTTATACCATATAGGGTATTTCGAAAGATGTGTTAAAAGCGGTCAAAATAACCCGTGACATTGACAGTTCGTCGTAAAAAGGTAAAAATAATTGCACTTTGGGTGATCTGTGTGGTATAGAGTCCGTGCAATAAAAGCACTAGCTCCATCCATTTGACCCTTTTTTTTTCCCTTTATAATTGGTTTTTAGCCCGGTTTATAAAGCACGCCGTACACGTCCATTGTCGGGTGCTGTATCTTATTTTTTCCCTCTCTTGGCGTGTTGGCCTTTTTCGCTCCATACGCTAAATCCCCCCCCCCCCCCCCCCTTTTATTATAACACTCCAATTACAGTAATAACCTGATATTTACCTAATGTTTTCAAATAAACTGAAATCGATCGCGATTGTCACGTCTTTCGTTGGCAAACTTTTGGCACGCAAGCGGCCGCGGCGAGCCGCCAAATGAGCATTCCTCGCATTCGACGTATACTACGTGGCCTCGACTGGCTGTCCAAGTTACTCAATTTTCTTTTCGTGTCAGTGTTTACTTGAACGCTCCAATCAACCTCTGAGCTATCGCGAAAATGTACGATCGAATTTTTTTTTTCTTCACTGGTCTAGTGATAAGCATATGGCGTAGACCAGAAGTTGTCATTAGTTATATAAGAAAAAATAGTGATCATATGCGTTTTTTTTTTCGTGTTTGTGTTGTTGTTTGTAATCTTGCTTCCTAATTTCACAACTCTCTGAAGTGACGACGAGTTTTCAGCGCATTATAACCGACCCGTTGACATTGTGAAAACGACACGCCAAGTTGCACGCCACGTGGACAGCACGCCACGTGCCAACAGATGGAACGAATATTTAGTACTGCC